ATAAAACATGTGCTAAGTGCAAAACTAGTAGAGCAGAAAAAAAAAAGTTAGCTGATGATATTGATAGTGAAGAAGACTGAATTGAAATAATTCCTATTAATGAAATTAGTAGTTATATTTCTGATATAATTGATGGTTTAGAAGATTCTATACTTTTTTTTACGTTTCATATTAAACTTGATAAAGATATACTTACTTCTGTTAGAATGGATATTACAATTATGGCTAAGCTGATCATTAATAAAATTGAAGAAGGTGATGATTTTAAATGGGTGTAAGTAAATTATAAATTTTAAATTTTATAAGTGTTATAAAGCGAAAACCTATAAGTGAATATTAAAGTTTTCACTATAGTGAAAACTTTAATATTCATTTATAGGTTTTCGTTTTACAACTCTCAAATACAGAAATTTATATTAAATATAAATTATAATTATAGTGCTCCAACTGCACTAAACTTCTCAACTCATTTTCAAGGTGTTAGAACTGCATATTTTATTTGTTCTCAAAGTAATAAGATTAAGCATGAATACAAAGATTCTAATCGTAAAAGAACAGACTGGTTTAGTTGTAATGGTAAATTAAATATAAATATTGATATTCTAGCTGCAAATGCTAAAGTAACATTACAACATGAATTAGTACATGAAAAGCCTATTGATGTTACAACACCTCTAGAAATAAAACAGGAGATTTTAGAAAATTTGAATATGGATTCTGTACACTTACATACACACCTTTGCAAAAAATTTGATATATCTAAAGTTACTTCAAAACAGATCTAATATTGGTGGTCATATTATATGCAGAAATTCTATAAACATAATGAAGATCATATTATTTCTGCATGTACTCTTATTGAAGGACAAAAAAAAAAAGAATATAATCTTTGTTTTCAATTAGAAACTAGTTATGTTACGGCAATTGGTTTTACTACTCCTTTATTTGGTTCATTATATAATATAACTGAGGTGCATTGTGATACCATGTACAAAACTGCCAAAGGGCGATTTAAACTTTATGGGCTTGTTGGAAATGTTGAAGGTGCTGGTTTTTTCCTAGCCTATCTTATCTTAGATACATCAAAGACAGGTGACAGAACTCAAGAAAGGTTGCATACTGAGGCTCTTCAAGGTTTTTTTAATGCTCTCTATAATAAAGGCCTACATCTGATCTTCTTTTATACGGATAAAGATTTTGCTGAAATAAATATTGCAAAAAATATATGGCCAGCAAGTAATATACAACTTTGCCTCTGGCATATTGAAAGAGCTCTAAAAAAAAAACTTAAAAGTAAAAAAAAAATTAAAAAAACTGATTACCAATATGAGGACGTTGTAAAGAAATTTTTTTTCGTCAATTCTTCTTTTAAATCTGACATAAAATGTGAAGATAAAGAATATTATATTATTTGTTAATTGAATTTACAAGACAATGTAATTGATCTTATAAAAAAACATTTTCACATACATCCTAAGATCCCAACTAGTTCAAATGGTCAATTTCTATCTCCTGTTGAAATAAGAATAATAGCAGTTCGTAAAATTTACGAATTTTGTAATAAACATAAACTTGTATTACTTTGGTCATATTTGTGGTGTGCCTAGTACAAACCTTCTCGATAGTGTCTTTGAGCTCATTCTACACATGAAACAATACCTCTTGGTAAAACAAATATGATGATTGAAGCACATTGGAAAGTTTTAAAACACCATTACCTTTATCAATTCAATCATCCACAACTTGATTATCTTATTTGAATTATTTGTACACGAGTATTACCTGATCAAATTACCTGTCTTCAGCAAATTTTGCTTGGTAGATTGTCTCCATTGTAGTTTGAAGATTTCAAGAGTGAATGGAAAAACCGTTTAAAAAAATCAATTAGTGAAAAGATCGAAGAACACTATTATATCAATTTGAAATGCTGGATATGTAGTTGCCCTTACTTTCTTTATAGTCGTTTTCTAATTTGCAAGCATTTAATTCATATAGCATCGGAAAAGGTAAAAGAGTCTGAATTACAAGATATTCAGTTAGTTTATTCTAATTTTAAATGACGAACAGAATATCCATTTTTAATTTGGGACGGAAGTGAAACTCAAAACATACCTGAAAATATTCCTAGTTTAACATTGTGTAATCAGACTCTTGTTGAAAATACTGAAAGTTCTAAAGATACAGAGCGATGTTAAGAAATGAAATCTAAAATAGCTTTATTAAACTCTTTAGTTAATCATTTAAATATAGAATTGACCAATAATAATTTGCAACATGTGGAAGCTGTTGTGAATAATTTGGGTCATGTCTTTACAATAATTAATGATATTGAAATAGCAAAAGCTAGATAGCAGCAAGTTTCAACTTGGCGAGGATCAAAGCCATTGCCTTTATTTTTATCTTTAGAATAGCGATAATATATGTAAAAAAACTTTTTTCTTAGTTGAACAACTTTGTATTGTGCTGTGTATAAATAATTTGATAAAATTTTCTTTTATTAAATAGAGTCATAAAATTGCAATGTCGTATGGTAAAGCTTTCTTATTAAAGTTATTATTTGTTATGTTCATTCGTTTGTTGTACGTATTGTACAAAGTATGCAATATAACCATTATTATAGTATGTTACATAATCATTATCATTGTACATATGTTACATAATGATAGATTAACTGGATAGACCGGATGGATTGGGTCATAAACACATGACTAGAAAATATATTCTGTGCCCTGTCAATCTGAATTAAATATATAATCATATAATGATCGTGAAAAACCTTAATAATTAGATTAATAGATTTAATAAACTTTAAAAAATAAATATATAATCATGTAATAATCGTGAAGGACCTTCATGATTAGATTAATAGATTTTATAAACTTTAAGAATTAAATATATAATTATGTAATGATCATGAAGAACCTTTACAATTGGATTAATAGATTTTATAAACTTTATGAATTAAATATATAATTATATAATGATCATGAAGGACTTTCACAATTAGATTAATAGATTTTATAAACTTTAAAAAATAAATATATATTCATATAATGATCGTAAAAGACTTTTACGATTAGATTAATAGAATTTATAAACTTTATGAATTGAATATATAATTATATAATAATTATGAAGGACCTTTACAATTAGATTAATAGATTTTAATTTACTGTAGTATATCTAAAGAAAAGAAAATAATATTATATTAAAATATATTCTAACATTATTATCATAATAAATTATATTGTCTATTAACATAAAAATATTAGATATTAATATTCTACTAGAGATACTTTTTGAATATATCTTTTTGGCAAAGATACCTAAACTATGCATAAACCCTAATACTTTTAAAAGATATGCTCAGAAATATTTCTGAATATCATATAGTTTTTTATAAATAGTATAAAAATAATTATAAAAATTTTACTTAGCTAAATTTGGAGGTTTAAGTAGATTTGGCCAACAACTATTTACTGATATCTGTATTACTGACATTATTACTTTAACAAATAATTACTTGGCAAACAATTTTCTGACAATCTATTTTATCAATAAGAGATTTCTCTCAACTTTATTTTCTCGTAATCCTGTTTTACTAACAACTATCTTGCTGACAACCTATTTCACTAACAATTATTTAGTCTCTGGATTACTAATCTGAATTTACATTAAATATTTATGAATAAGTATTTATGCTTATGATTTTAATTCAAATTATTAGTGTTAATAAATTATCTTTATACTCATGTCTATTTAAAGAATATCAAGTATTTAGTGATAAGTATTTATAAATAAGTATTTATGAATAAGTATTTATATTTGAATAAGTATTTATATTTATGATTTTAATTTTAATTGTTAGGGTTAATAAATCATCTTTACACTCATACCTATTTGAAGGGTATTAAGTATTTGGTAATAAGTATTTATGAATAGGTATTTATGTTTATTTTAATTCCAATAATTAATGTTAATAATAAATTATCTTTGTATAATAAGTATTTAGAGATAAGTTTTTATGAATAAGTTTTTATATTTATTTGAATTTCTAATGATTAATATCAATAAATTATCTTTATACTCATATCTTTCTAATTATTCATTTTTATTAATTTAGTCTGTAAGTATTAAGAAAGACAATTTATTAATCAGTGAATTTAAAATTAGTAAATAATGAACATTAATACTTATCTTTAAATACTTATTTATAATTAATTACCTAAATACCTTTCAAATCATTTTATTCACATTAATTTAGTCTGTTGTATAATGATTTATTAATCAGTAAAATCAAAAATTAGAAAATTATGAATATTAATACTTAACATTAAATACTTAAATATTTTCTCTAAATACTTATCTCTAAATATTTAATACTTTTCAAATAAATATGAGTATAAAGATAATTTATTAACTTAAGTCATTAGAATTAAAATCATGAACATAAATTTTATTCATAAATATTTTCTTTAAATACTTAAATAGGCATGAGTATAAAGATAATTTATTAATGCTAATAATTTGAATTAAAATCATAAGCATAAATACTTATTCATAAATATTTAATATAAATTCAGATTAGTAATCTAGAGACTAAATAGTTGTCAGTGAAATAGGCTATCAGCAAGATAGTTGTTAGCAAAACAGGATTTTAAGGAAGTAGAGTTAAGGAAAATCTCTTGTTAGCAAGATAGATTGTCAGAAAATTGTTTGCTAAGTAATTATTTGTTAGAGTAATAATATTAGTAATCATTTATTCAATTAACTCTCCCCACTAATCATCTAAACTATTACGTAGCAAATATTTTTTAAATACAAAATAATTTAAAACTCTAAGAAACCTAGCAAAATAGTAGTTATTAAATAGAAGTACGAGTTGTATAGCCCAGTATATTTTACATAAGAAGCAAAAAGATCTAGTAGGTGATAATACTATTATTTTGGCCAAAAGTTTACATTATAACATTTTAAAGAAAAAGGAGAAGAAAAGAAGTAGTAGAAAAGATGAAGAAACAACAAACAGTGTTTTGTACTGGGGCAAATACTTTAACTCTCTTTTACTTTATAACTGGTTTTTGTAAGTAACCTTTCCTATTCTTTGACTAACAAAACCAATACGATGACTGTAGCTTTTTCATTTTGGTTTCATTTTGAAAAAGTAGGGATTCTGGCTCACCTCTAACAAAGGATCAGCACTCATACTACCTTCTATTTTGGGCAAGTCACGTCTTAATTGTTTACAAGTTGATTAACATACGTGAAGCCAACATGGATCTGCTTATGTAAATAGAATGATAGCTAACAAGAAGTTATACTCAAGATTTATAGTTATATGTTAGTACTATAAATAATTTTTATCTTTTATGCCTTAGCACAGGCTATAATAGTATGTTCTATCTTGCTTATCTTTTTTTTTGCCTTCTTTTTCTTCTTTTATTTTCTTTTTGTGTTTTCTTTTTTTCGTATAGGTAGCTTTTTCCTTCTTTTTGTTTTTTCTCTTTTATATTTCTTGTTATTTGTTTTTTCATTAGTCAGTTGGAATATAAATCCTTTAGCTCAGGAAGCTAGGAGAAGAAGGTTAGAGAATTAGGTAATCTTGATAAGAATGGTATATAGTAATCTTCTGTTGATTATTTGAACATAACTTTGCTTCAGCAAACTGTTCTTTTAGAAGGAAAATTTGACTATTGTGGTTAGATCACACCTGGATACCGTCTGGTAGCTGAGTGAGTTCAGATTTGCATGGAGAGGATATTATATAACTAGCTTAGCTTAGTTTATATTTTTGTTATAACATATTTTATGTTTTCTCTCAATAAATGAAGAACAAAATCGTCTAAGTTCAAAAAAATAATGTTAGTAATACAGATATCAGTAAATAGTTATTAGCCAAATCTACTTAAATCCTCAAATTTAGCCAAGTAAAATTTTGTATAATTATTTCTATACTATTTATAAAAAACTATATGATATTCAGAGATATTTCTGAGTATATCTTTTAAAAGTATTGAGATTTGCATATAGTTTTATGTATCATCGCCAAAAAGATATGTTCAGAAAGTATCTCTAGTAGAATATCAGGATATAATTTAATATAATATTATGATCAAGAGAATTTAATCCTAATACTAAAATAATTTATAGTTTTTTAATTTATCGATATTAATATTGATATCGATCATACAAAGATTCAAGTTTTGTAGCTAATCAAAATTCAAGTTTAATTTTATTGATGATTTTAAACACTATTTTCAAAAAAAGATACTTTAAAGGTTTTTAGCCTATGAGTATAAAAAAATAAATAAAATTATAGTACTAGATAATAAAAACTTTTTATTATAAATTTAAAAGTCTAGTTAAGTTTCAAAATTTGAATGTTAACTTAGAAGGAAAGTTCAGCTTTTTTTTACAAAACATAGATTGAATAATTTCATATAAGCTGCAACTTGCAGATCTCTTAATTAAAATATTACAGACATTACACTTGACCATTAATTATAAAAATTTTAATTTGAATTATAAACAATTCATGTAACAATACTTTTCAATACAGCAATATAAGCAATTAATTAAATCAACATTACTTAATTATATTTTTAATAATATATTCAATTTGTAATATATTAAATTCAAAAATTTTATCAACTCTAAAAATACTAACTCTTTCAATTTTGTTGACTCCTATTCTCTTAAATAAGATATAAATTTTATTTACTTTTTCTACTCTTTTTCTTAAAGTGATCTGAGTTATATTATTGAAATGGTTTAAAAGTTTATTATAAATTTCAGATGTTGCTGATTTTTTAGAGCTTCTATGTTTAGAATTTTTTTGATCTCTTAATGTTTAATTAATTTGTTTATCTAGCTTATCCACAAATTTATACCAACTTTTAATTACTATTTGATTAGCCTTAGATACATTATATTCAGTACAGATTATGTTTGTGTAAAGTTAAATTAACAGTAATATAGCATCACTATTATTATTATTATTGTTGTTAATATTATTATTATTGTTGTTAATGTTATTACTATTGTTGTTAATATTATTATCTATTCTAACAAGTGTACTTAATTCTTTATTAACTGATTCATTTGCATTGCTTTAGATGTTGTTTTGGATATTGCTTTGATATTGTTTTGGATATTGTTTTGGATATTGTTTTGGATATTGATTTGGATGTTACTCTAAACTTAGTAGATTTAGTAGATTCAGTAAATATAGGCTTAGTTGATTCAGTAAACATAAGTTCAGTGAATTTAGTAAATGTGAGTTCAGTAGATTCAGTTATCATAAGTCCTGTAAGCATAGTGAGTTTATTATGTATAGTGAGTTCTGTAAGCATGATAGGTTCGTTATGCATAGTGAGTTCATTATATATAGTAAGTTTATTATGTATAGTGGGTTTGTTACATATAATGAGTTCATTATGCATAGTAGGTTCGTTATACATAGTGAGTTCATTATATATAGTGAGTTTTTTATATATGATAAGTTCATTATGCATAGTAAATTCATTACTCATAGTAGGTTCATTACATATAGTGAGTTCATTATATATAGTGAGTTTGTTATGTATAGTGAGTTCATTATGCATAGTGAGTTTAATGAGTTCGTTATGTATAGTGAGTTTAGTTAGTTCGTTATATATAGTAGATTTAGTGAGTTCATTATACATGGTGGGTTCAGTAAGTTTATTATGTATGATAAGAGTAGAAATAGTACATTCTAAATTTAATAATAAACTAATAGAACAGTTACTTTCTTGCTTATAAAATGATATATTTTTAATCTCATTAGTTTTTTCTTGATATAGCAAATACTTATCATTAATATATTCTTTATAGTAAAAATGCTTGTAACTTAAAATTGCAATTAATTCTTTTAGATTTGGATCGATAACACTTTTGCATATCATACAAATGTCTTCTTTTTTCATATTAATGTTTGGCAGAATATCTCCAGACTCTTCATAGAAAATAACTTTATATAAAAATTCTTTTAAGGATTCCATGTTTGTATCTTTTTAAACAAAGATAACTGATATATTTATATTTATATTTATATTTATAACTAACAAATAATTAAATTTATACATATACAATAAATTAACTTAATTTTATAATGATGAATATGTTACATATCATTTTTCTATTTATGTCAATAAATAATTGATACTTGTCATTTTTTAATTTTTACTAATTGATAAACAATACAAGTCAATTCTTAATATGATCATATTATAATAATAAATATGTTACATGTCATTTTTCAATTTATATCAATTATTAATTAACAAGTCAATTCTTAATATAATCATATTATAATTATGAATATCAGATATTTTAGCAATTTACGTTAATTATTAATTAATATCTGTTATTTTAATTTTTACTGATTGATAAATAGCTAGAGATATTATAGTCTGACAAAGACCATAGTCTAAAACAGTTTTTTGAACTGGTCTAAGTAGTTCTTAGTTCAAGAATTAGAACTGATCCAAACAAGTCAGTCTACATAAAAAAAATACAAAATATCATAATTATGATTTTATCACAAAATTCCAAAAGACATATTCTCGAAAGGATCTAATATTGACAAGGTTAGCTAGCATTAGTTATAATATTAACCAATTTAGTCAGTATTATATTCTTTTGGAATTTTGTGGTAAAACTAATTTTTTTCAGATAGTGTTAATGAAAATATATAACTGGTCGTGTAAGTAGTCAGATATGTATTTTTATTAACACTATCTGAGAAAAATCTACTAATACACAATAACTCAAGATATTATTAATTAATATCCTAACCTCTTACATGACAAAAAATAGCATTAGCATATCATTTAAACTTTATATAAATAATAAATATTAAATTTATTTAATAATGATAATGATTTAAATTTTTATATAAAATAATATCAATTAAGTACATTCTTATGCATCTGATTTTTTATTCAACTAAAAGATCTATCTAAATATTTGTAAAAAATTTGAAAATCATCAAAAGAAAAACTTCAATCATACAAAAAAAAAAAAAAAAAAAAATGCTATTTATATTATATTACAAAGATATATATCTATTTTACATTTATCATTTATGTTTATAATATAATTTGTACAATATTTAATAATAATGAAGTAAAAAAGAAATAAAGGTAACAGTGAAGTTAATTATAAAAATACAAAAATCGACAATGAATATAACAATGATAAAAATTATAATGATAAAAATAAAGGTAGCAAATACACTTAATTATCTCAATTACTATTTATACTTTATCGCTGTATGATAATAATACTCAAAATTTTTACTTTAATAGTATTTACTAATTGTAACAGTAAAGATATAATTCTTCTTAAATTTAATAATTTTAAAAACTTTAATGTATATTTTAAAAGCTCTATAAAACTCTATAATAGCTATCTGAGTTATTATTTAAAGGTAATATACTAAGTTTAAAATATACTAACTGGTTGCAAATTTTCTTCTGATAAAAGTCATATAAGAGAGTTAAGCCAGGGTATTAGTAGATTTTACTTAGATAGTATTAACAGAAATATATGACTAGCTGTTTATATGATTAGTCATATATTCCTATTAATATTGTCTAAGTAAAATCTACTAATACTCAATGACTCAAAATATTATTACTTAATACTCTGACCTTGCATATAATAAAAAAACATTATTACCTCATATTTAAACTTTTACAGTAAATAAAATCTATTATTCCATGTCCTAATATGATCACATAATAGAGATTTGCATATTATAAATCACAATATTTATTACTATACTTATAACTAATTTTTTTTATTAATTATTATTACTTTAAGTTTGCTTTTATTACTTCAGGGAGATAATTAAAATTGTTATTAAACTGAATTATAGATATTTTAAAAATCATATTGTATTATAATAAAAATTTATTAAAATTGTATTATATTAGATCAAAAATATTTTAAAATTTATATAGTATTGGAAATAAAAGTTTGTAAAATCATTATTAGACTAGGCCTCTATAATAAAAGCTTTTTAATTCATTATCATAATTTTTTACAGTAAAATATTTCTAATTTAATTACTTATTAAAAGAAATTTTGATGTTGATATTGCAATCTTTACAATTTTCAATAATAATTTTAGGTGTACTTTTAATCAGATTAGAATTAGAAGATAAAAAACTTTCTTGAGTATTCTCCTGAATATTTTTGAGAATATTCTCTTTACTTTTCTTAACTAAACTAATAAAAAGCTTTGAGGTATCATATAGCTTGAAAGGTTTAGGCTTGAAAATTTTAGATCGAATTAGATGATGATTAATTAGAAGAGACTTTAATAGTAATCTTAAAAAAACTTAGAGAGATATTCATTTGCAATAGTTATAAAAAATATAAATTTGATAATAATATTAATAATATGTATATAAAATAAACTTGTCAGAATCTTAATTTAAATCTTGTTTTAGAATAATCATTGAAATAGTACTATTCATTATCTCTTTTGTAAATGTTTAATATGATGCAACTCTACCAAGTAAATAGTATCTATTAAATACTATTATACAATCTATTGTTATATTAAGTTGAGTAAGTATTTGTATTGTACTTCTTTTCATTAAATGATTAATTATTTTTCTGTAGTTTATATCAACAACTTCTGTTTTTTGACAAATTTCTCTAATCATCTTTTTATATGAATGTTATCTAAGTTCAGTATTATAAAACCAAATACCTTAGGTCTGGTGATCTTAGTGTAGTGGTTAGGTTGCCAGACCACCATGCAAGAGGTCTGAGGTTCAAATCCTACTGTCAATAAATTTGAATAATTACTCGAACCTTTGTACCCAACTTACAGTAATATAAATCACATTGCACCAATATCATTCGGATATTGGAAGTATGATGAGGCATTTGGCGAGATATAATGTTATACGAATAAATCTTGATAGAATCTATGAGTAGAGGACCTGCATGGTAGAAATCCCAAGTTGGTGAAGTAGTACAGCTTTTGACAATCATACCGGCTAATACTTGATCCAGAAAGGAAACTATCGTCAAAAGATGCAGATCGAGTTGGGTGCGTATAAATCTGGTTCACAAGGAGGATCAGTAACACCAACTTGGCTTGGCGGCTAACTAGATTGGGAGGATCTGCCTCGTGAAACATCTGAGATTATAGAATACGGAAAACTGGAGAGCCACGGTAGGAACTAGGGTTGTACGAATATCTACAAGGGTCTAAGCTAGGTGAATCTGTAAAATAGGTACAGACCACTCTAGTAGGTATGCTTCGAGGTTAA